TATTTCTTGGCCTTTAGGAAGAAAAAGTCTTCCTCATAAATTCAACTTTCTATCTGCTATGACTCTAGTCTGAGGGTAGATATCCACAAATTTTAACCTTCATTTTACGCACTTATATTTTTCTAGTAACAACTCAGTTTACACTAACTTTTGTTAGAAAAGGTGATTTTTTGAGTTGTAGTTTATGTTGCCTATGATACTAGGATGTTTGTTTCACAAAAGAGAAATTAAAAGTTGACTCAAATACCTATATTAGTTATTTTGTTGGAACTTACTAATGATCGTCAGGACGCAAAGCATACATCCTTTGTTCATATCTTCAGAAAATGAAATTTTCAATGTTAATCTTTCTAGCAAGTCATGAGATGCAACAGGCGCCGTACGTTTACTCTATGACTTTACTACTATCGAGTCACTTTCTCAAACGTTAACATTTACATACTATTGATCAACAGCATTCTACGACTCCTATTTATTAGGACTGTTTTAAGTAGATCATTCCTTTTGAAAAATATTTAACCGACGTATATATTATTTAGGAATTCATACGTCTCTCAACTTCTTTCCTACCTTTTATATTAAAAGACTAATGGTTAGAATCCTTCAGTGGTTCAAATTTTTATCTCACTCTTAATCAATATTTACGGTCAATAACACCAGTCTACCGAACCGTGACTATCTCAGATAGTCCCTTTCATATTAACGGACGTATTTATCATTCATTTATTTACCTATTTATGGAATGATGCGCTTATTCTCATTTACTTTTGATCATCATCTTAAAAAGTAATTTCCTTACCTTTTTGAAAAGCTAGGAGTGCATGCAAATAATTCTGAACTGTAGTTTATAGACATGTATGCTTAGACAGATTTTTCAATGGTGAGCCTGATGGGACTCTAAATGAAGTATGTATTCATTAAATTTACCTGCTCGGTACATCAAACGCAGAATTTGAAATCACGTAGAAAGTTAGTTGATTTCAAAATCTTTAAGTTGCAGTACCATACTCAAAAGCATAGATGCATAATGAGTGACTTTGATGGCCTACTGAGCAACAACCAAAATGATCAGTTAAGTTGCTTTATTTCAGCTAAACGGGTAACCTTTTATAAGAGGAACGAAAGCAATTGGTTATTTCGATAGTTGCCTTGATGATCTTCAAACGTTAACCTGTAGAACTGCAGCTACTATCGAAGATGTGTCAATATGAAAGTATATATATATATATACATATATATATATACCTTACTAGGTAGGTTTGATTTCAAAAATAGGATGAAAAGAAATTAGGTAATGGATAAAACAGCGAATAAAGTTCACCTTTTCGGCTACAGTAGCTAACTAAATTACGAAATCATTTAGGTAAGTGGGACTGATTTACTTTTCGTAGTAAGTTATCACTCCATTATTCGTTGTCGATTTCACTAAAGTATTTTTAGCGAAATACCAATAACTTTCATTTCAGAAAATAAATAGTTTGACGAGAAAAGCCTAACAAAATAAACCTCTTTAGCGGCTAACATTTGACGAACAACCATTGTGAACAGATAAAAGCGCAATATAAGACTAAAAGACCCAAAACTTTCTTGTCTGCTAAACAAATACACAGTTCTCTGTGTTACGAAACTAAGCTTTGACATTTAACGGTATTCTTTCCATTATTTAAGTGTGAAAAGAAACAAAAAGGTAAAATTGGACGAAGGTATCAGGAAAAACTGATCTTATGCATTTATGGTGCTTTGATTGATCCATAAGATGAATGTCAAATAGGAGAGCTAAGTACACAGGTACTAAGAGTTAGCTTAAGTTCCATTAAAGCATGAACTGAATTCACGTGTACATTGAACAAAGGGAGAGTGAAGAATTCATGAACATTAAAATGATATTATTTGTCAGTGGTTTGATGAATTTTTAACATAATCACGAATAGTTAATGTTAGTCCCTTAAATATAGTGGTATCATCATGTCGTTAACAGCCTAGAGGTCAGATGCAGAGTTTTCTGTAAAACAGATCATTTGGCCACGTTGCAAACGTCCATCGACTCAGATATCTGTGACATATATAAAGCATGCCTATTCACCGCCTTTCCTGTTATGCACTGTTCGATGAAGTGGGACTAGACGGCAAAAAGGTTTACGGTGATCAGATTAGGAAATGACATCTGTTCATTAAGTCTTCAATGTAGACTTACTGGTTGGGGTCCGCATCTCAGTCGAAAAGTTAGGCCAAAGACTTCGAGCAAAATGACTGAGAATTGACCTTAGTGCAACAAATATGTGTGTTGTTGTAATAACGGGTTCCACGTTGACATCGACTGAATTAGTGGTTGAATACGCTAAATAAAGTTGCTTTTCAGTGATTTTCGTTATCTCTGGAGATTCAGCCATAAAGCTAACAACGTATTAATTAACAGTAAACGCCTTAAAAGACTAATATCGTGTTGTACATGTGGTATTCTGAAATTCCTTCGATTCAGCTTACACTCAAAAAACACAAAAGAATAATGACGGAAGCTATTTGGAACCAGTTTCATATTTTTCACCATGTCATGGGCTAAACTTTAAAGTATAATAAGTATTATTCGCTGATAAAGATATCCAGAATGCTTTACAACACGTGGCCTGCAAACTAGTTAAAACTTTGACATTCGACTCGTGACAGAATTAGAAATTAGGTTCCAGTGTGCACTTAAAGTTCATTACCATCTACCATGTCACACGATTTAAGCTTATTTTCCAATATATGGATACCAGCTTTAGAACTAAGGACTATGAAATGAGATTCAGTCACTTATCTTTTGGTAACAAGTTTGTTCGAATACTAGAATGTTAACTAGTCCATTGTTCCTAGTGTGCAGTTCACACACACCAATTATGGAGTTGGAAAATATAGAATGAGTAGCTGTCTACCCAGTGAGCTTCAGTATTGTTGATACAAATACTATGAATCCCCTTATGCCTATGGATTGCACAGCAAAGGACACTTTCAAAAGATATTCAGCTGCTCTGAAACGTGATTCCTACCCTATAAACTAATGACAATTTCAATTGGGGGACTTTAAAAAAATATGAAACAGTGCTCGCTTTTATTCATTTCTTTTACTTAAAGTCTTAAGTAAAACTGAGGCAATATATCCTTGTTCATATTCAGTCACCCGCAATACTACATCCTCTTGTCTCCAGACACTGATCATGACTTGTGACTGCAACAACGTATCACCTACCATCAACAGCTTATTCCATGCGGAAAACCCTGTTTTGAGAAGGTTGTAAGACTAACTTGAAAGGAAGGAGGTTACTTCTATAGTTTCTGCATTGAGTCCCACAGGGTTTATCAACTTCAAGTCTTCTGAGGATACTTAACATTATGGGAATGCCTTTTTAAATAAAACAAGTAATTAGGGCAACTAGATAGAGGGGTTCATACTGATTGTCTCCGATCACCTAACATCAAATTAAATTTTTCACTGACTAGTAAAATATATGCTAGCTGTACAAACTGTAGTCAGCAAAAGTAGTGTATACATGGGTTCGATAAATTAAGCTATGGATTTACTGTACAGATTGTTATGTACTCATCGTTAGGATGGATGTTCTAGTAAGTTACTGAGCAAATTGTGTTCACGTGTAGATACCTTCGCATAACTGGTTGAAACTTATTTTACAGGCAGATTTTTAAAGCAGATGGTTTGGGAGTAAGAAGTACAGAGTGAGGACTTCTTAAAAATGATCAGACGACTCAAAGTGACTAATCATTTTCATTTCTCTTGATTTTACTCATAATAATACTTAGTACGGCTGTCATTAAATAATCACTAAATTCATGGATTATTCAAGTGATTATTACTGAGTAATTAACAAAAGCAACCTTACTTTTCTTATCAGTAACGGTGATATTCGCTTAACATTCATGAAGGTGGCTCATATTTACACTGATTAAACCTTAGGAGATAATTGACTTCAGATTATCTGACCTTACATGTTGATGGAATTCTATCGATCCCCCTGCGACTTAGCCACCACGTTAAGAGACGTGTTACTGTAATGGAGTTTGATTGATGCAAGAAGTTAAAAAGAAGTAAACCTGAAGCTTTGAATTGAGGTTTTATATCTACTGGTACTTGTTGGCAAGGTATATCTGTAACCTCAAGAAAACTGATGTCTGTTCTAATATCACCTTAAATGACAGTCGGAGGCATTTCCAGAGAGCTACTTTGACATCCAGTTCATCCAGTTCACGAAGTCCGTTATCCTAATCGCCTGAATCATAAAGGCGTCCGTTTGAATTACTGCGAAAGTTCCCAAGAAAATAAACACAATTGAGACAAAATGCACTGCTTTCCACAGTGGAATAAATTCGGCACCAGAAAACATAGAGAGAAGTAACTAAGCAAATTCCTAACTTTATTATGGTTGATTTCTTTAAGCACACGAATCCTATGAGATTTGGTTCATGGTTGTGAAAAAGCTGACAGTTCGCTGCCTACTGAAACAAAATATGTTGTAATGTGTTTGAATACTGTTCTGGTATATATATATTTATTCCCTTTCCTGCATGCTGTCGTTTTTTTAATCACAACAAGTAGTAAAGATTTATTTGTTGTATGAATAGAAGATGATAAGCTTTAATCTTACCAAAACTTTAAGCAGTAGATTCAAATTCACGATAATGAAAAAGTCTGATCTGAAGTTGAAGGAGATTTCTAGCCTCCTCATCAACGCATACTTTCTTTGAGAGATACAAGTATACAGATAAAGAATTCAGAATGTGGCAATGTATTAAGTACAACTTCTACCATCCAGTTGGATAAACCGTCATTAGAGTATTAATACATCATCGAGATCTCTTGAAGATACTTATCGGTTTTCACTACCAAACAAGTTCATTCAGTCAACTGCAAATACGATATCGTTTGTTATAAAAGTATTAAATACAATAAACAAACTTTAATAGATTGATAGAAAGGAAAATGATAATAATATTGACATCATACTAACCTGTATTCTTCAGCATATTATAGCCCTTTGAGCAATTTTTGCGCGATTACCAACTCTAGTAGTCTGAACTATCAGCGACAATAATATTGTCCAATTGAAAGGGATTTAATGCTTAAAGGATCCAATTTTAAAAATTCTATGAGATTAGAAATAAAAAATCATAAAAGAATCTTGTATGGCTCAATCACTTTTCTTCTAATCTATCTATCCACTCCTGACAAAATAAGCAAATACAAAACAACAAGAGATAATATTAACACATAAAAATATTTAGTGCATAAATGTGAAGCTCAAGTACTCAATACGTTATTTAAGCATCTTACCCACAGTTGTCCAATATTCTACTTCATAAAAATTCCATTCATATGAATATTCAAAAATAGTAAACAAGGATAGTGCTACCTGTGTATATTAATGTATTCCCAGTATAAATATGATATGATATCATTGAAAATATCATATGAAAACGAATCAGCACCTACACAAAACTGACTTCATTCAATAATTGTGTTCACATGCTATTGTGTATATGTGTGTGCAAAAGAAACGAAATCACCTTAGTTATACAATACTCAAAGATGGTGATAAAAAGGAATACATGGTACATTATTTACAAATACTACACTCATGCATATACACACCTTGATACATGCATACAGATGCATATGAGTATAACAATTAATACCTTCAATGTACAGCATTATTACGTAAATAGTGTAGACTGATTAACTTTATGTTAATATATATAAAAATAACTAAGCATAATTATTCGATTACTTGATAGCAAATTTAATAAAAGTAATTACCTTAAATCACTCATCACAAGAGAAGTTATTTTCGTCATCTTAAAATCCGCTCTATATTCGCCAAGTTATTGATCTGACAACACAAATGATGAACTACAATTTTCCTTTATGTTTTGAAATGAGATAAAAAAGGTTTATGTGTAACTACAATCTCGATTATTTTTATATTGACGGCAAAATCACCAGGGGAAATTAAGTCCTAGTGGCCAGCTGCGCTGTTAATTTAAGAACATCCATCCAGGGACTAATAATAACAATGTCAACACAGAATGAGTGAGTGGTATTTATTTTTCTCTTAAGTTTCTCTATCAACTTCCCATTGTATCTATCTGTATATTCATAAGCAACATTATCATTTGAAGTAGATCAGGGAGCATGGTGATGAATTGTCTCAAGTAGACACTTCATTTGTAACAATTAGACAGGATCTACGTGGTATGAGTACACTAAACAACCTTGTGCACATTTTCATAGTAGGCTGTGGGTCGCATCTATCTTGTGCAAGCAGATGAAACTATCTGGTTGTCTAAACCTCAGAAGACTGAGCTGGAATGGTAATCCGTAAGTCACAGTGGATTTATGTGGACTTACAGTTTAAGGTTAAATTCGATGAAAAGAGGACTGTTTACCAGTCTCAATACATAGCAAATAGGACTTTCTATGTTTGAAATACTTAGTAAATAAACAAATATAAAGAATATATTTGGTTTCAGAAGAATTTCCGGTCGGAATTTGAAGTCAGTATAACAGAAAAACCTGCCTTGGAAAAAATTAACATCAAATTATGGTATACGTAGTACAGCCTATAAAATTATAGAAAGTTTCCGAATATGAAAAACATGACCTAATGTATGTTTAACCTAGCCTAGGTAACTAGTTCACTAGTTACTCGCCGGTCCTAAGCCCAGGTAAAGAGGGAAGGTTCAGCATACGGCTAGCAACCCTACCCCGTAAAACCAATCAAATCGTTAAAGAAATTTCAAAGCACAAAGGAAATATAAAACACAAAATTAAACTTGTTTCTCGCTGGAATCGGGGAGACAAAATGATGCCTGTTGGTGAAAGCCTTCTGGAAACCAATTGGCCGATGTGTCTTCTCTCCTCTCGACGAAGGTAGAAGTAAGCATAGGACATGGAATATCCGCAAAATGTTTGAAGCTGTCTGACAAGGCTGCCAAGATTACAAAAGAAATGAGAAGATAGAGGATAGAAGTGATAGGGATCTGCAAAAACATGTGGAATAGAAGTGGACTCTCCAAACTGTCATCTGAAGAGTTGATAGTCTACTCCGATATTGTCACCCAGACGACAACCAAGAGCATACTGAGTTTTGAAGTGGCTATCATCATATCCCCAAGAGTATCGAAGGCTCTCATGCAGGATCATGACAGCAATCTTCAACTCAAAAGGAAGGAAATTCATAATCATGCAATGCTACAATACGCACCTACAAATAATGAAGATGAAGAGAAGAAGGAGAAATTCTACAAATAACTGCAATCAGTAGTAGACAACACCTCACCCCAGTTAGTGACATCAAAATTCACTCTAATGGGTGGGGTGACATGAATGCCAAACTGGGAGCAGACAACATGGGAAGAGAACTCATCATGGGTCGGGAAGCAGTCGGTGAAATGAACGAGAATAGATAACTGTTTGCAGACTTCTGCACGTTCAGCGATTTGGTGATTGGAGGCGACGCAGTGTGCACAAACACAAGGATATTCTCAAGGCAACGACATGGATTTGATTTCACCAGACACCAAGACACACTACACTGCACTGCATCTCAGACCAGATCAGATCGACTTCATCTCAATGTGAAGAAGGTGGAGATGGAGACGCAGCCTACTGGACACAAGGTCAAGAAGGAGAGCAGATGCAGATAGGTTCACACAACTGACTATCTAATGCAGGGAACCTGTCTTCCAAATCAAAGTGAAAGCCTTCAGTTCAAAGAAACTGGTGATGGACGAACACAGTTGAAGTTCAACACCCAGATCAGAAAGTGAAGGACGAAACTACAAAGTACATGTTTACCTCAGTCATCAGAATAAAATGGGAGATGTCGAGCAACATCCTTGAAGAATAGGGTGTGGATGAACGCTGGGACTCGTTGAAAGCTCTGTGGTAAAGGAAACCTGCATAACCGTGTTAGGAAAAGGGCGGAAACAAGACAAGGACTGGATCTCCACGGACACATGGAAGCTGATAGAGGAGAGGAAGATGGACCAGTCCAAAGATGTAGGACAAAAAGACGAACTGAGTACAAAGTACAAAACAATGGACAAAGAAGTGAAGAAGAATGCGTGCAAAGACAAAAGACACTTCTACGACATATTAGCAGTTGAAACAGAACAGACTGCTGGTAGGAGAGACCTGACAACACTATATTAAATAACCAGGTTACTATCTGGGAGGGAAGAGACTAATGCAGACGAAACCAATGAAAGATAGTGAAGGAAAGCTAGTTACCAAAGAGGAGAAACAAAGAAAATAGTGGGCTAACCATTTCAAAAAGCTCTTGAATTGACCACCACCACCTGCAACTTGTCCAGAAATACCACCATCAGCCGAGCTACGGAACCATCAGTAAACACAAGCCCTCCGACAAAAGCCTAAGTCCTGAATACCATAAAGCTGCTAAAATCCGGGAAGGCAGCAGGACCAGATGTAATTCATCCAAAAGCACTGAAAATAGACGCAAAGACAACAGTGGACATGCTCACACCACTATTGTAGACGGTTTAGGAGGAAGGAAGGAAAGGTACCTGGTGGTAGATTGGATGAAGAGCTAACTTCTCAAACTTCCAAAGAAGGGCGACCAAATTCCTTGCAAGAACTGGCACGGAATCATGCTCCACCCCAAGCAAAATATTATGCCGTATCATCCTCGAGAGACTAAAAGATGCGCTTGGATTCAAAATTACAACCGGAACAGGCTGGCTGACTGGCTTCAGGAATTACAAATCATGTGCGAAGGTGATGGAGATACCTAACCAATAACAGCAACAACAAGCGCCAATCACTATCAGTGGGAGAAACCTAAAGGAGGTTGTCTCTTTAACCTACTCAGGCAAGGCAGCATCGTTTCAACTATAGGCAGTAGCGGCGATGGCACAGATAAGGATGTCAAAACCAGGATCGGAAAGACAGAAAGACAGGCCTTCCCACATTATTCTGAAGTCAGTGTGGAGATCTACTGCACTCAGCATAAAGCGTGAACAATATCCGGATTTTCAACACCAACGTCATGTCAGTGCTTCTATGTGATGGTTGAGAGATATCACGGCGCGTCACGAAAAGCATTTCCAATAAATTACAAACATTCATCAACAGCTACTGCCTACGCTCACTCGATACTGACACTGAAGATCAAATGGCCAGAATAATAGGAATAAGCAACAAAGAAACCACTCTGGCAGTGAACCAACCAGGAACCTACCACCCAACAAATTTGCAGAAGAAAGTGGAGATGGATTGGATTGGGCGTACACTGAGAAGGCCGACTGAGGACATCACACGCCAGGCCAGGCCGTCGAGTGGAACCCAGATGGGAAACGACGAGTTGGGTGTCCGAGGAGAGGGTGACGTGGAAGAGATCGTATGAGGAAGAAATGAACTCCTGCGGGCAGTTGTGTAGTCAAGTTGAAAAGACTGGAGAGAACAGAGTGGAATGGAGACGTGCTACTGAAGCCCTATGTTCCACTAGGACCCCAAGGGACAAGTAATAATAAAAATAAAGTAATGTATGTTCGTCCTGAAAAAACAAGACGGACTTAATATTTGAACAAAACCAACAATTGGTATATGGTATTTGATACCGCAGAAAATATATTATCTGTGCGTATTTCTTCAGAGTTTAAAGTTAAGACATGATCTTGTGAATGATGTATGTTTCGGTTGTAAACGAATGTTTTGTCAGCAATTATTTTAATTATTCTACTTCCGTTTGAATGAACTTGCAATCTCTACGTGATTGACGTTTGTGATGAAGTCAGCCTCATTCTAAATTTTCATTAGCCAAGCTTGGCATTGTTAACAAGGGCGTCTGTCAAATGAATGCATGATAGTGTCAATGTGCTTAGTCTGATAGATGAAAGATCACTTGTAACTACATGCCGATATAACTTGGTTAGCTGAATTTTCCTTCGCAATCTGTTGATTTAGATTATGAAGTAAACAAAACAGTCTAGAGAATTCGGACATAAAATTTACATAGGCTTTGGGAAGAATAATAACTGTCATTTCACGTTTGAATTTTGTGTAGATTATACGGATAGGCTTATCTTGATAACTTTCTTTCGAAGTTTTAAATCAACGAAATAAGAAGTTGGTTTCGTTCAGCACCCAGTGTGAAACCGATTGAAAGGAGTCTGTTAATGAATCTTTGAAAGAGAATTTTCCCATCAAGGTTTTCGTCACAAGTAATAAAGATTCCTTCCATCCATCTTTTAAACATGACTAGTAGCTTGATTTATGGAAATGAACTAATATTTTGCCAGCTACTTTTAAACGTAAGAAAAGGAATTTAAAGTTATTGTTTCTGTTTTGTAATTTTAGAAACTTTGCACCAAGGTTTTGTACTTGTTAGAACTCATCAGCAAGGCTTGTCTACAACAATAATAT